TTAGCATGTTGAATTAATATTCTTCTTTTAAGAGCCCTCTTGTGGCTTGGGAGTTGTTTTTATGGGAGTAATATTTATTTGGTTATATATTGTATTCTAAAATCATTTTTACCATTTTATTTTTTTAGAAAATTAAATATATTATATATTTATAGAAAAATATAAAATTTTATTTTTAAAGTATGGGATTTAGAAATAAATCAAGAAGTATTAAAATAAATCTTAAAAAAGATACAAAATTTTACAAAAATCATATGAGATTTCAAATTATATACATACATACATACATACATACATACATACATACATACATACAGAAAAAAGCATAAAAGAATTAGTTAGTAGTATGATTTTAATTTAAATTATATTTTTGATTATTTCTTATATTTTTCTTAAATATTTTAAATAATGATTTAATTTATTATATTCTAATTTAAATATATATATATATATATATATATATATTAAATTAAAATCATACTACTAATTTCTTATATATTATTTAAATTATCTCTTGACATAATTCTTATATATTTTAAAATAATTATATGTATATGAGAATGTTTAAGAAACTAATTAGTATTGAAAGAATTAGTTATAATAGAATTTTACTTTCTTACTTTCAATTTATGAATAATTTTTAAATCATCATATGCTTTTAATGAATTCAAGGTTAATAAATAATAGAGCTGCAATGTCATGAAAAAAAAAATGAGTATACATTTAATTATAAACGTTTTAAATTTTTTAAAATTAGCTAAATCTAACAACAATTTTTTTAACTAGTATACGGTTTTTAAAATAATTAAATAAATAAGTTTACAATTAGATTTTATAGTTTTTTTATTGTAGCCAATATCTTTATATATATATACATATATTATAAAAATATTTTTTAAAATTATATTTAAATCTACATATGTTTTAAAAATTTGTTAGAAAGAATTTATAAACTTGAATTTTTTTTAATAAATGTTTTTTTATTTTTTTAAATGAATAGTAGGAACCATGTTACTATTCTTTGATGAACTTAGTTGCCATAAGCTGGTGGTACTAACACATTTTCATCCATCATATCATAATCATCACATGATGTATGTATAAACATGCCTCAAAGTTAATTTGATTCATGGATATGAGCTAGTTGTTAGTATATTTGCACTAAAATTTTACTTTATGAAACTATAAACTTAAATTACAAGAGTCAAAATCCAAATCAAGGTTAAACTTGGTTACTTTATTTCAATCTTATTTAATTAGATGGCAGATTGATTTTCAAAATGGTTTCTAACCTCAGAAATAAACTCAATTATAAATTTGTAATACTATAATAAGTTATGGGTTTTAAAGTTTTTTTGCATAAATTAAAAAAATATGTACATTTTTTACTTATAACTTGTTAAATTTTTAATAATTAACTTTTTATACAACTTTTCATTCATTATTATATATTTTTTAGATTTTTAGATTTTTTTAGATAAACAAATTTATTGAAAGGTCTCAATTGAAAGATTTATTTGATTTGAATTTTATTTAGCTAGTTAAGCTTTTTAGAAGAATCTCATCAAAAATTATAATTTGGATCTAATATATTATTTATAAAATTGGTAGAAATTTATAGAATGTAATGTATATATATATATATATATATGAGAATGTAATGTATATATATATATAGGAGAATGTTAAGTAGACCTAGGTTTTACTATCAATAAAGACTAACCACATTCATCATGATTACCATATTCTTCATCAAGTGTGGATCTATTTAGTAAAAACATGAATCCATGTAACATTCTCCTATATATATATATATATAGATATATTATTTTGATTGATAAATATTTATATAAGGTAATTTGGAGAGGATAAAAAATTAATCTAACCATAGAATACACATCTCAAAAAGTTGAAATATAGAAGACTTAAAGTTCTAAATAGTTTTTTGAATTTTTTTTCCAAGATCAACTTCCTATTAATTTTTATTCTAAAATTTAATAAAATAATTCTAATGAAAATTAAGTTTAAGATAGGAGATATTATAAGTCACATGAGAGAGTTTTTATAAATTTTTTTTGTATTTTTATTTTTAATTTAAAATAAAATATTCATAATTCAATGTAAGAAAATCAGTAATTCTACCAAAACCTTAAATCATAAAGTTTGATGAAAAAAATACGTGCATTTTAAATAAGATCTCTTATATTTTTATGATAGAATACATAATTAATAAATTATTTATCTTAAAATAAAATTTAATAGAATCTCTTTTCATAAAAATTGTAAAGATTCTTTTTTCTTTGAATTATCCTTTGCAAATAGATCTTTTTGTAATTTGTTTTTTAGAGAATTAAAAATAATGTTTAAATTCTTCTCTAAAATACTTGTAAAGCCTTTATTTATAAATTTTTATTAAGATTTTTTGAGGAAATTTTCAATTAAAATAATCATGAAAAAAAAAAACAAACAAAACGAAATAAAAAAATGTGTATGCCTCATTAAAGCATGCAGAAGCATTATGAAAGGTGAAAAAAACTTTCAACCTATTATATTTGATTTGTAAATTTTGGATTGTGCAAATAAGTGAAGTTCACAATACTATTGCATACATAGGTAAGCTACAATTTTTAGTTGATAAAAAATTGTAAGAAATTACTTTGTCATAACATTATTAAAAGCCTTGTAAAATCATAAGATGAATTTGTAGTATCATTAAGAACTTTTATTTTAATCCAATTGACATAAATAATTAATGATTTTACTGAATACTAATAACCCTGTATCAATAATGCAAGATCAATTTCAAAGTTAATATTGGTTACAAAGAATAAACATAAGATACATCATATATACATAATTGTACATGATATTTTTATAATTACCAAAATTGTGTTGAATAAAAATATTGTGCCATTAAATATCACTATCATACAATATCAGAAAAATATAAAATAGAAGAAAAAAAAAGAGAATAAAATAACAGAAATTGAAGGATAATTTTTATTAGAAATGAAAAATTCCAAAAGAACAAAAATAATTAAGAAATTAAAGTTTTTTTTTTGAAGCAATGGTTTCTATAAAAATAAATAAATAAATAAATAAGTGATAAAGAGTGACATATGAATTCAACTGGTATTGATTATTAAGTTATAATAATCTACTATTTAATTCTAAGATTTATAGAAGAAATGATGTAAAATTTGGCATTAAAACAATCCATATTTTTTTTCTAATTATTAAATATTGTGTACGAAAATATGTTTAGAGCTTCTATGTTAGAGGATTATTTAATAAATTTTATTTTGGTTATTAAAATGATAGCTTAAGGTTGTAAAGCTAATTTTAAAATGTATAAGTGCCTTACAAAACGTTACAATGTTAACATTAAAAAAATTTAAAAATTACAATTTCAGAAAACTATTAGAATCTTCTAAGAAATGAAAAGAGACTTTCTTCTTGTTCTTTCTTGAAGTACAAACATCACAAATAAAACAACTTTACAACTCAATAATTTGGCTATATCAATCTTATAGAATTTAAGAAAATGCAAGCAAATGATATGGTAATTTTAGTCAGGTACACAAAATAACATTTTCTTATAGCATCTGGATTGTTGAATTTTTTTTTTCCATTGATCAACATCACACTTGAGACTTCAAAGGCCAGATTGTATGTTTCTACCATCAGAATATCTTAAACCGTCAACTTAAGGTTTTTCAGCTATCAAGAGTTGTTTATTTGGAAAAAAATTGTCTTGGGCGGAAAAATAAGGTTCTGATGTGCTCCAAACAAAAAAAAAAAAAAAAAAAAAAAAAATTGAATTGCTGCAATGGTTAAATTGATAAAAATGATCAAAAGAATTTTTGCATTTTACCCCTAAATTGAGTCATGGACTTGAGCAAAATCATCCATTAAAACAAATCAAACCACCACCTTCATCACACAAAACCACCTCATTTACTGTTTTAAAGTTTCCCAATCATTGGTGGACTTGGAATCCACTTGGAATCTTTCTACATTCTTCAAAACGGTTTTGGGTTTACACAAGCATAGTTTTTAACAAAGTCTACAAGTTGGTTCAAGAACCTAACATGGTTTAAGGTATTCCAACATTAATTATATGTTGTCTTGCAATGAAAAGGAAAAAGTGCACAATAGATTTTCTATGATTTTTTTCTGATATTTTGGGAGTCCCCCACAAACAAACTTGTGCCAGGACAAAAATTGCAATTTAACTTAAGACACAATATGACAACGGTATGTGGCCGATGGAGAACCTTTGATGAGCCCAGTTGTGAAGGTTTAGTGGATATAGACGAGTCACAACTGCCAATTCCAATTCGAACATGATGCACAAGGTATCCAATGTACCAAAAGCTAGACTAGTATGCTGGACCCACAAAAAAATGAATATTACTAGGCTTCGTTTCCAATAGGAAAACATACAAGAGTGCACCGATGAGCAAATGAACACCCAGGGTCCAGTTGTTCTTATCTACAATCCGCCGTTAAAAACAAACAGAGCCTTCCCTGTAGCTGACTAAGGGCGCAGATGGATAATGTTAGCTGGGCAGTGCCCTTTTAGAATAGTAAAGATACTCCTAGTGTATAGTCAACAGAACACAACTCCCTTCTATTTGGAACCTAGGAGAGCGTGATACGATGACTGGTCGAACACATGCACCATTATGTACTTCCAGTAATGTTTTTCTTATTTGTGTTAGATAAAGCAAACTTGATCAGGATACACTGCACAGGGCAAACACAACCGTCTTGCAATACATTGCTACAGAGAGAAAATTTGATTGCACGAGTATCAAAGAAAGCAGGCTTACTAGAGTCGAGCAAGTGGGTACATGCCCAGATACGAATTAATATAATTGATCCACGCTAGAGCAACTCTTTTAGAGGAGCGACCAAGGGCATAGAGACAAGGAAGAACAGAGCATCTGGTCTAGAAGTAATAACATTGTTTTGGCATCAGATAAACAGGAAAGGCATTAACAAAACATCTAACAGCAAGTGTTGCACAGCAACGCACATGCATGTTAGTTTTTTCTTTTCAGTCATCATCTACATGATTCGAATATCGAGGATAAAAGGCATTGAAGGAGTAAAGTCGTGTGACGCATAACTATACCATGTGATGTAACTATACGAATCATCGCAAGTAACCAAGTACAACACAGAGGAATCTGTAAAGGACAAACTCAATCCAGCGCCACTTGCACCCTATGAGGACAAAATTCAAAGGATCAAAACACACGCGTGACTATGTCAGTCATCCGGAAACAATGGCAAGACCTACAGCAGACAAGGTGCCGGACGGCATAGGTATGAGTGGGTCTAGAAAGATAATGGCAGTGACAGGTGTAGACAAAGCCAAGCTTTACACACTTGTAGCCAGCTTTAGATTAAGTGTCCCTTAGAGGAAATAAAGACCTGCCTCACAAAACCCCATGTATGCTTATGTGACACATCCAGGGCTGAAGAGACAACTTCCAGAACCACAGTGCTGCTCGAGTTCCACTCCTATTAATAAGCCCTGCCTTTCCACCAGTACATGCACACAGTAAGTCTGCGTATGCGGTATGATTGTAACTGGAAGCAGTCAATCCTGAAACAAGGAATTCTGACTTCTTTCGGCGAAGGAGCACTACACCAAAATGGTTGACTCTAGAAATGGGATTGCTCACCCTGATGAAAGCACAATTAAAAATCCTGCAAAATAGATTTTATCAACAACGTAGACAAGATCCATGCACATTCTGATCGGAGCAGACCACATGCAGGCCTCCAAGAACTGAAATTGACACATTAAAGATAAGTGCCAGCAAAGACAATATCTATGCCACTCAAGAGCATAGGTCTTCGAATACTGTTCGTCTCATCCTCATCCAAAAACCCATCCGAAAGGTCAATCGCCAAATCACGTGCAACTGCCTATGAACACAAAGCCCACTTGTGCTTAGTAACTATCGGGACATACTCTATGATTTGATCCCGAGACAACCGCCAAAAAATTCTTACGTCCCATTGAATTTGATTGAAAAACCTTGGATTTCGAACTCCCAAAACTTGAGCTAAAACCATCTATGGCAAAGAACACAAGTCAACTCTCAGGCTGTCGACGGCAGAATCCGAATTCATTACTGTCAACATTCTCAGCCACCTTTCTTCTAGCTCCACCTTTTAGACCACCCTAGGCAAAGAGAAGGATGCGGAGGCAGCACACTCAAGTCACCCATATTCCTCGTGCAAGGTAGCTATCCCTTACAAGACAAGCTGGGTAGGGCTTAGTAACAAACATCTTGGTCTTCATGATCCACAAGAATTATGTAGCATTTAATCTACCTTACGTGAAAAACTTTCGGATTCAATTTCTCAATATTAAGACCTTCCCCAGAGGATGTTACGGACTTCTTGGAAGAAGCTCCGGAGTCTGTCTTCTTCTTAATACCATTTACGATGTCATCAATTCCTAAAAGAATGCAAGCAGCTTTGTTAGAGCTTTTACAGTCTGTAACTAAAGTCTAAAATGTAACTAAATGACTCCCACACCTGCTTGATCATGACAAGCAAAATGATTTAGGAACTTAGAGCATTCAAGTGAAGGTGAATATAATAGGACATATACCAAGTCGTTCATCAAGTAACTGCAGACTGAAGTACTAACCTAGGTATCTGCTTTTTTTTAATAATAGCTAGGTCAAAAACACGCCAAAGATATTTTCACTATCCCAAGGTCTATTGAGTCCCACATACAGTTATCTCAACATTACAAAAACTTGATGGCCTTGATCTCAATTCTCTGTTTGCAAACCACGAACCAAAAAACATGAAAAAAAAAAAAAAACAAAACAAAACAAAGAAAAACAAAATGTAAACAAATAAGTAAATAAGCAAACATTCACATACTACACGCACACACACACCCACCGAAAAGCAAAAATAGGTCTTTAAATTTTTAGGCAGCCCCGTAAATGGTCGATTGGTCCTTCAAGAGTAAATAACTAGGATTGGCAAGATTATTTAACTCAGGAAAACATCCATTGATTGTAATCTCTTTCGCCAATTTTAAAACAAGGTCTCCGTTACACATGCTCTGTATACAGTGACCAACCTGTTCGCAGCTTTAATCGACATGCTCTTTTTCTCCAATGTAGCTGCGACAGCCATTTCTGAGGCTCCTCTACCTGGAACCAATTATTCATCTTTGATAATATTGCGACCTCCATGGAATCCTGTCATAATAATCCATGACCAGATCAGCATAGTACATCCTCGCAAACACGGTAGTAGACTTTCAAACTAACTTTAACGACAAACCATCTATATATACTGTTTACCAGGAACATCAGCAGCAACCAATGACAGCCGTAGCACTGAACCGTCATTTCACCGCGAAGTTGTGCTTCACTTCAATTCGAAGATCCTTACTAAGACCTCTTAACAATACCGTGCAATCCTTAGGTTCTTACACGCGCCAATGAATTGGAGGTGCTCACCCCCAATATTTTTGACTTCAAACAAGTCACAACGAGTACCGACATCATTCTCCTGGAGTTCTTGTGACCGATTTACAACAGTAGCCCAACCAGCATGAGCAATAAGGTTGTTATCTGACCATCTTAGCTTGCGAATTGCTCTAATATCCGCCTTGGTAGGAAATTTGGGGCCAGGTATCCGTCCCTAGTAATCACCAAATAAGGCTTGAACTTTATTGTTTGAACAATTATGTACTCAAAATACTCTTCCTCCATTGGCAGTACAGGAGCTCTATGAATCACAATACGCACAAATAAGACATTTATTACACGGTAATGATTTTAAAGCAGACAAGTTCCTAATAATCTGCAGAAGCCTAAATATTTCATAGCACAGATCGTCATCCACCGTATATATTTGGAGCTCAAGTTACTAGCTAACAAGCACTAATCAAAGGAGCATACATAAAATCCTGAATAAAGGTGGCTTAAATTTCCCAAAACGTAAGATAGAAAAGACATCAACATATACACCACTGAGGCCTGACAACCATTAAGTTGTCTCGTCCGTCCAATCACACTGATAGAAGGATATAAATCGAGAAAGTACTCACAATCTATGACATCAATGTCAAAGCAATCTCCTTCAGAACAACGCATTCTTCAAAGTCTTTAAATATGCTGCACTCAGGTACAGAACATATTCAAATGCAGAATGATAAGGCATGGCAAATTTGTAAGCATAAGAGTAATCCAATGTAAACCATAAACCTCTTCTAGCAGGAGTGCTTCTTGTGATTTGCACGTGTACAAAAGTGTTGGACATCCATTCTCGAACATGTACGTCAGCATAATACAGAATAGTATAAATGAAGCCAATGCATATACACACCCCCCAAATAATATCCAGTATAAAAGTTTTGAAAACCCGATATTTTCGATTGTTGATTGTCCAGTATAAATAGTAGTAGCAGTAACAGTAGTAGCGAAGGAGAGTAAGAGACCTGAACGAGGAGTTTGAGTGTGTCAACCTCGGCATATGACAATGAGGTGTAACTGCAAACCAAGAACTTGCTTGGCAACACAGAACATCTCGCCAGCTGCAACAACCAAGTTTCATTCAGAGGTCAAGATCTAGAAGAAAATGATAGCAAATGCAAGGTATTTGCCTCAATTTAAATCAAACCCTGAACTAGAATTAAGCATGCATCTATTTAACACGAACTTAGAAACAAATTCTTGATACGCACCTCATCGATACGATTCTTCTGAAAGTGATGTGCCAAAGAAAGTGAGTAACTGCTGCGAGGCAGTAAAATAATCTGGCGTGTTTCTCATAAGACAGTAGAAGTGGTCGCAAGTGCATCTCCGTTCTATAAAGGCAGGACGTCTGCCAGTCAAGTTGTGCACTGTTCAAATTAAGATGAAATCTTCCAGAACGATCACCGACGCAGTTCCATCATCAACCTCTTCATCTTACGTACGACTGAGCTCCATCATAGATTCCCGGTATCAAGCAAAAGTCGATGTTGCACATCCAACATTGCACGACCACACTCATTGCATAATGAATTCAAAGTCAACGCGCAACATGACTCGTCACGATTCTGATGCAGTCATTACTCGCCGAGCACCACAATAGCTAGCCTTGCAGCAGCAACATGGAAAATACCAACCTCTCTTAAGATTGCAATTCCATAGTTTAAGAATTTAATATCTGCCAAAAGAACAAAGATCCTCAGCATAAACCTCGTTACGCGCAACAACACCGTCATAGAGTTGTTAGAAACGGTGTCACAAATTTCAACACTAAGAGAATGTTGACATGAAAATGACGATGGTGGAAAAGACTTTGCCACTCAAGTGCAATACCCTCACTAGCATCGAGTAACGTCTTAAGCATAGACATCAGCCCCAGTGTTGCTCAAATAACATCTGCCACGGCCTGAAGAATAGACAGGGGAAGTAGAAAACAAAGCTTCAGCACGGAAACTTCCAAATGGCAACGAAATATGATACAGCACAACATTCACATGTCCTACGTACTTGACATCAAATATCTAAACCACTTCAGATAGCATCAAAGTTCATGCGTCCACAGGCATTTCAACAAAGAGAAACCTTTTGAATGTCTTATCAGAGGTGCAGTGAGCGCATCTTATAGTATCCACCTGGCTATTCACTAGAACTAATCTACTGTAAAGATTTAATGCAATGTAGCATCTCCACGATGGAACAACAACATTCAGCGTCCTATAACAGCAGAACCACGGCTGGATTACAGAAGAATACGTGGAACACTAAAGAGGCAAACCTTCGAGGCCTGGATACTCGCGAGATATTCCCGATAACCTGTTTCTTTCCTCGTGGACTCATCTGAGAACACGTCATCGTGAACAAATTCAGACAACAAATTCGCAAGCACACCAGACGCCACGCAGCTACTGATCACCTGATTCATTTTTTGAAAAAAACAGTCGCAGATACCCGATTCTACTAGTATGAACTCCTCTTCACGCCCGGGTACCACACATCATGTGATCCAAAACCCGAAACCTCCAATAGGACTACCACATGAAACCTGCAAAAATGCAGTGAATAGCTACGTACTGAAACGCGGCAAGGAAAGCCTGCATGGCAACGTTGCGGGAGCGTAGGTTGCTGCTAGACTGGTTGGCGATGAAAGGCGTGATGGATCGAAACAAGCAATTACTACAGCAAAGGTTGAAGCACAACAACAGAGCTCCGAGATAGGGTTGCAATCCCCTCCAAATTGTCTGTACCCTGGGACTCTTCATTTTCAGCTCCGTTTTACTCTTGGTTTCCATCTCAGTTCCTTCACAATCGCGTCCTGCCGTTCCTACATTAGTGGTCTAGGAACGAAGAAATCCCAACGCACTATTTTAGGGTTCGGCACTTGGCCTCAGCGAAAGTTGCTCCCGACACTCGAGAAACAACATTCCAGATTGAATTTTTGAAATGCATTTTAGCGTTGCTTCTTAAAAGACCATCAAACTGATTGTGCCAAGATCTGGGATGAAGGGAACCATATTTATTGGGGAATAAGGGCGGACATGAAAATTAGGGCTGAACTCGGTTGTGGCTACGGCCACGATCGCCAATTTTTGTAGCTCATTCGCATTGATACATTTTCATTATGTCTCAGGTTTAAGTAATTGTAGTGGCTGTTGTTGTTAGATATGGGGAGTACACTTAGTGAAAATTGTGTTTTTATTAATTTTATTGAATTTTTTATTTTTATAATGAAAATGGCATCTTATGGCAATATAATATGTGGAAATACTCCTTTACAAGAAGGCCCCGTGCACTCTTAGGAGCAACCATAGGGTTTAGAGTTTAGAAAGATTTTGCCAAATGGTTATAATTGTAGTAACTCTAGTTTCCTAGTAGGTACAAATTCTTGTGAGATAATTTTATTGCAAAAATCTTATTGCAAAAATAGATAATTATATTGTATATTTTTAGACGATTACCAACTTTTAAGGCTCTTGAGTTAGAGTAAAAATTAGTTGAAGATACATTGAACAAATTACTTGAAATAATCCAAATTGTTAACAATTGATTCTTTTATTTAAGAACAACTCCAAAAGGAATATTCTGCAATACTCTAATCCTCTCACCTTATTGGATTAAACATGTCATTTATACTTTTTAATATTAAGTCCCTCTATTCAACTGGATAAATTCAAGTCTATTGATTTTCAAGTTGCAACCTTAATAGACAATGTTCTTGAAAAGGATTCAGATAATGAGAATTTGTTAGAGTTGAAGTATTGTAGAATGATTCAATCATGAACAAGATAGGAACTAGACATTTGTGTGACCAATCTAGTAGCTTAAAAAAGAAAATTAATACAAATTAACTACAATCATATGCCAATCCAATGTTATTTTTTCTTTATTGTAGAATATAGGATTAAATAATGCCCATATTTATCTAATGCTAAAGAACATAGAGGAAATAACTACACAATACATATAGCAAAACAAAGGGGCTTAATTTGAAACTTTGACAACAATATTGATGAGTAAAAGTAGGAGAAAATAGTGATGTTACTAAAGATTGCACACAAGGCGATTTTACCTTGGTTGTGAGTTGTAAAGGAAGAAAATATCAAAAACAACAAGCCACAAAGTGGAAAGAGAAATAAGGACCACAAATCATGTCTCCTTTAGCACTATTAGTAGTATGTGGATCTGTAATAGAAAATCAACTCTATGTCTCTCAACATCATTATTAATTGTAAACAATATGACATAAAAATAATGGGAGGTAATATGTGCAATCATATCTTAGAAGAAGGGCATGTGTACAATAACAAAGCAACTAAAATATTTAAGAGACTTACACATAATTTGACTAAAAACACAATAAACAACACTGTTATTTTAATAGGATAAATATTTAAAAAAAAAAAAAAATGAATGCATATGAGTTTATAACTATAAACAAAAATTATTTAAAAGTATTAATAAAAATTCATAGATTACCATAATTAAAAAAAAAACATTAACAAGCAAAAATGATTTTTTAGAATATATTGTACTTTTATAAATTCTAAAAAACTTTGATTCAATAAATCACCCAAAAAATTTTAGTTTTATATTAGATTATTAGTTATTATTATTTATTTAGATTAATTTTTTAGTTTTATAACTTGGAAAGTCATATAAGTTACTCTAAAATTTATAAAAAACCATAATGTGTAGTTACAACAATAACTTTTCAAATAATAACTATTAAAAAAACTTTTATTTAAATATTTTTAAAATATTTTTTAATGGTTTTTTAAAAATCTTTTTAAGAATTAAAAAATACATGATTAATGTTTGAATTATAATGAAGTATTTATTGTATAGTTTAAATGATAAAAAATAATTTTAAAATTTAATAAAAATTTAATGTAATTAATATACATATGCATGTATATAAACTCAAATTTCATAAAAGATAGTTTTTCTATTGATTCAAAATATTTATATTTAAAAATCTAGTAAATTATTTATTTAAACTGATAAATTATGTGACACAATCATGTTGGTCTTATAAAATAATTCTCTTCAAATTCTCTTTAAAGCATTTTTCACAGATGTATCTTTTCAAATGCCAAATCTGCTTAAATGCTCTAACTAAAAATAATGCAAGTTTTCATTTTTAAATTGAGATTTTTTAACAAATTATTGTATTAGATATACTTTGAATAAAGGTTCTTGGCAGAAAAGTTTTTTTTCAAAATAAATTATATTAAAACAACTAGCATATTCTAAGAGCTATAAATAAATACACACACACACACACATATATATATATATATATATATATATATAAATGTATCATATTTTAATCTTCTAATAATAAAAAGAAACTCTAAGATTGACGTGGCTAAATTGAAACAATGATATTAAAATTGTTATATGCATGCAAGTTCTTAAAATACTATTACTAACAATATTAAAAAAATTGGTCAAATACAAGATACAATTTATTAATTGATTAAATTATTACATAAAATTGAAGGAAGCAGCTGGAACAAAGGTTGGCTGGAGAGGACAAAATGACAAAATCTATGTTAACTACGATGAAGTGGGAAGCTCTGGCTGTTATTATCTGTAGAACTCACACCCGATCAAATTGCATCAGTATCTCATAATGTTTAAACACAGACAACAATTCCTTTTTACTACTGTCATTAATTCACTACATGTCATCAACTGGAAGGAGTTGCTGGGTGAACATTAAGATTCACTTACATGAGAGCTGGTTCTCTGGAGTTTCAGTTCATAATTCTTTCTTCATTAAGTCTTCGCCTCACAGGTATACTGCCTCATGGGTACCCACTAAAAACCCTGAATTGGACCTTAGGTCAAAGATCCTCACTTGTGTTGGACCTTGTAATATTTACATGACTGTAACAACCACAGAGTAGCTCAAGTGCAAGCTGCTACTCGTCATAATTGTAGACTAGCTATGCACATGGGAAGCTGTTGTCCAGAAAGCCTATATAGATCACGAGGTCTGCATGAAATCAATAAAGCCTAAAAGTTCCAATGAAATATACAACAGCTGTTGAAGTTCTGAGGGGGAAGGGAACTATCAAGGTTGACAGACAGTCACGACGTACCTCGCAATGCAAGCTAAATAGCGAAAGTTTCATGTGATCTGATACAGAAGAAAACCTGTCGGTTGAAGTCGAGCTGAGTGATATTGCTCCTGACGTTTCTCTGATGACACAAATCACTCGGCTAATTCTAAATTTGATGAGAAGGTGGTTCTTCACCTACGAAAGTAATGGTTCAGTGGGTGATGCAATTCTCTACATGACATAATGCTACATTGACAGCAGTAGGGAATGGTCAATACTCCCCGTGGAGGAGGTTAGTTTTCTTCTGGGGACACGAACGGAGCTCATCTGCCGAAGAACAATTTTGTCATCTCGATAACAAAATTTGCTCATCTGTGCGAATCGAAGAGGAGTAAGTTTCAAACCTGAAGCTAATGCTAAACTATGCCTATGAATCTGTCATCAAGTTGTAAAGAATTGCAACACATCTCGTGATGTCTAAAAGGTATTACTCAATCTGTCCACGTATTTTCCTTGATTATCATCTAATGCTCAGTTAAGTAATTAGCAAGACCAAATATAGGTGCCTCAGCAGGAAGAAAAGCAAGGATTGCCGGTACGGTTGGATGAGAGTAGCAGGGGCATCATCGGGCTGTTTGTAATCAATCCCATTGTAATGCACGAAGCACACGACCTTTTCATCTATAACAAAATTCAGCTCGCCCCAGCTGCTTTTGCCGCAGAGATCAAACAGATTCTCGCACTGAGAGTCGATGCAATCCTGCACTTGAATCGATCAATCACGACATACAAACAACCTGTACATGGTCAGTCATAATTTTTTCCAACGAAAAGCAAATTGCTCAAAGAGGCTTCCAAATTTCACAATCTGACTTAATCGGGTTGATTCTTACCCTGCACATGTAAAAGTCCCCATCCGGATCACATCCCCCCCACACGTAAACATTCAGTTCCGTTTCGTCGCTTGTGGCGGTGACGTTCATTTTCCGATCTGTCTGCTTGTACAGATATACCCTCAAATTGTTACATCCTTCCTTCAAATTCTTGTAAAAATCATCGGCAGTTGTATCTAGAATGTGCGATCTGCTGCAGTTGTATGCGCCTCTCACACCCTCCACTTCCAGCAGGCAAAGCAAAGCCACGATCCACATTAGCTTAGCCATTCACACACAAATCACGAACCAAAACCTTCACTTGCATCCACTAAGAAATTCATATTAAAAAAAAAGAAAAAAAAAAACAGGGATCGGGATAATGCAACTATGGGTTAGGTTGTAACAAACTGGGCAGTTGAGCTTTCCCCACACCGTTCTTCTCGCAGCATGCAATGCTGGTAAACCTAATTCCCCTGTTCTCCGTTGTTCATCATCCCCAACGACAGAGGGTGTCGTGAACCGGAATGAGAAGAATCGTTGACGACGCCTCTAAAAAGCTTCGTCCATCTGACGAAGCTATTAATGACCACCCATCGGGAACGAGACAGAAAGCGAAAGTGTCTGACGATGGGAGTTTTGTCCAAGGCCATCGTTCATGCTTCTGGAGCTTGGATTCATGCACGCGGCCGACCTTCCGCTTTGCCTCGGGCCTGCATCGATTTGATCGATTCTATTGCTGCAGAAAGGCATTTGATCGATAGCGCTCAGGGACGGCCGGATTTTGTAGTCAGCGGGAGTGCGGCCAATTGTGTGGGAGAGTCACTGCTGGCGATCGGGGAAGGACATGCAATTTGCTCTGGGAAGTGGCGGACATGGAGGGATGCTGACGAGGAGAGGTTGCCAGGGTTTTTAGAGTTTTGAGGTTTTGGTCCGGGGAGGTGAGGCTTAAGTGTGTAATGCGGAGATGAGATTGACATGGTTGAGAATAGTTTTCGTTTTCTTCTGTCTCGTGGTGAGTGAGGAAGCGTTTGTGGAGTGGGCAGTGGTGTGTGGACTTTGGTTTTGATAAAGAGCGAGAGAGCGAGAGAGAAATTAGAGTGGATGGTGGTGAGGAGGTGGCTGTTGTGAAGAGGTAGATTTGCAGGAGTGATGCAGAGCCTGGCGCAGCTCGAGAGTGCGGCTGTGGGAAGCACTCCGCTGCGATGGAGTGGAAGGTTGGAAACGGATTTGAGGCGCGTGGGATGCCTGTCTCGCGTATCTTTCGTGTGGCAGCGTTCGACTGATTCCACCCGTTCATTATCTCCTTCTTCATTGTCTTCTCGTTATGGCCCTCCATTGCTGCCTGGTTTTGTGTATCCAAGGTATAGGAGTGGCAGGTCGAGAATACTCTGTGTGCAAGATGAAATTTCAAAACCCGAGTCGAACGACCTCGCAGAGATAATGTCAAATGAGTCCGGAGAGGTTGACCCTATGTACGAGAAGGGTGGATCAAATTATTTTTCAGCGCTAGAGAAGAATAAGAATGTGAACGGGAAGTTATCAGCGGTGACCAATTTTGACCCTCGTCGCCCCTTTGACTTAACGTGGATTGGGGCGTGGGCGGATGAAGTGAGTGAGAGAGGCATGCACAAGCGGAGAACCTTTTACAGTCATGACGATTGGTTGCAACATCGAAGCTCAACAAGGCATTACCGACATTTTACGTCAACCTTGTCGTCTCGAGTGATCGTGTCTTTGATACCTCCTGTCGGCACCATGACAGCCATCTCAGTGGCAATCTCAATATACAATAGTATCGTTTTATCAGGGTGTTTGCCATCATTCATTCCACTACTTCATGCTTCACCTCTTTCTTACCAGCTGACTGCTCCAGCCTTGGCGTTGCTTCTCGTGTTTCGAACTGAAGCATCCTATTCCCGCTATGATGAGGCTCGTAAGACCTGGACAAAAGTTATTAGCAGTTCAAAAGACATGGTCCGCCAATCGATGACATGGGCTCAACGTCCTGATGATAACCGACGTAAGAAGCTGTTACTGGACTACATTCTGGCTTTTTCCGTGGCTCTCAAGGTATTATCTCAATTTACGAAGAACATCCCTGCCATTTCATTGAGTAGAATTCTCAAAGCTTACTGTGTTCTGGAGCAACCATTAGCCTGGTTTTCGTTTCTAAATCGTCTACTTTCATACATGATACTTCAAAAGCTCTGATTGCGCAATAAATCATCTGCCGTTGTAAATCTCCTTCACTGGAATCATTCAATTTAAGTTTGTCCAACCTGGTTTGCATACTGGTGGTTTTCTTAAAACTAATTTATATGCAGCGAATTTGGTTCATTAATTGACTCAGTTCCCTACGTCCATGCAGTGTCACCTACTGTACAATTCAGATATTGAAGAAGAGCTGAGTGAGATTTTGGAAAAGGATGACCTAGCGCTGGTTCTTAGTGCAGAGCATCGGCCAAATTGTCTCATTCAGCTCATAACTCATTCTTTGAAATGTATCCAGCTCGAAGATGGAGAGAGAAGCCTTCTGGTGAGCTTGAGAACTGATATTTCTCTAATCCTTCTTGGTTTTCGTATTGTTTTCGATCCAATGCATTCTCTAGTGGATGTGGTTTTATGCTCAAAATAGCTTCAGCTTGACACACAATATTTTTTTCTGTCGCAGGATGCAAATATTTCACAATTTAATGAGAGCATAAGTATATGCGAGCGCATAATTCGCACGCCCATCCCACTTGCCTATACGCGATTGACATCACGAATTTTGGTGCTGTGGCACCTTGCTTTGCCTATTGTGCTTTGGGATGATTGTCAATGGGTGGTTGTTCCCGCCACTTTCATTAGTGCAGCCTCTCTGTTCTGCATCGAGGAGGTGAGACACATCTTGCGGCTAAGGAATGCTAGAAAGTTTATCGTAAATTTGGTGTAGTGTAGAGTTTGTGTTAATTACTCACCTATCAATAACCTTCAAACACCTTACATGGTTCTGAAAGTATTCTGCCCGTGCAGAGAAGGGGAAGGGGGGTTGTGTGTGGGAAATAGAGGATAGTTTCTGGATCTAAGTTAAAATGTTACTTTGGTGTGTTTTCACTACAGGTTGGGGTCCTCATTGAGGAGCCATTTCCAATCCTTGCATTGGACCGAATGTGTTCAAAAGCACGTGAAAATATACAGGAGATAGCACATTTGCAACAACAAACTCAAGAGCATTTGAGAAAAAAGACCACCAAGGTGCCACGAAATGGTGTTGCAAATGGAGTGATCAGATCGTGATCCGCTGGGAGAGTTACATCTGAGACGTATGCTGATAATAGCATGTATCATTTACCATCAGCAGGATGAAGTGATGAAGGACAAAGATGAGAGATTTTAATGAGGATGGGGAAGCTGCGTCATTCCTTGGAACAGGTTCTGAGGCGCGCAGTTACTCACAGAACGGATCACTAATCGAGGTTGTAGATAGGGTCTTGCTATCCCAGAGGATTCATTTTTTGTTGATAACCAAGTTCACTGATTACAACCAGCATATAGGCTGTATTCCTTATTGTTACAAGACCCTCGATTACGGCAGTTATTTCTGCATCATACACTGTAATACACTGTGCCACTTAAAAGTCAGGAACCATGAGACTGACCTTTAACGACATGGACTTAGCAAGCCAAAGTTGAAATCAGATAGCACACGACATCAGTGTGAAGTCCTGTAGACTCAGAGCTTCTGCAGCTCATGATAAACTTATTTGAGTACTACATGATAAACTTATTACGGCAGTTATTTCTGCATCATGCACTGTAATACACTGGATCTGCTTCATGTGAAGATTCTTCTGGCTTCAGAGGCACTCGATCCTTTTCACACTTTCCTATTGGATGTGCTAGTCATACTCAAGCCTTCCTGTCAAAGAAAGGTCTGCTGCGGGCGCTATGTAAAAAGTGTTTTGCTTAGTCAAGTTGATATCAGGTATCTCATACATTACACGCTTTGAACGATTATCGCGTTAAAGAAGCCCTCAAGAAGCAAATGGATGTCGACGCATAATTCAGTTAGCAGATGAACCATGCTCCAAATTAAAGAACGATTTACACGAAAAAGGGCACAAACAAGAATCTCAGAATCAATGATGAAAGTGCCACAGTTTATTTATCTGTATTTGTCTCGGAAGAGACCGCTCTACAATCATATTAGTGTAGAATATAATAAAGAAGGCAGAAACCACTCTGAAACCCTGTGAGTACTAGGTATGCTAGGTACTTTGCCTGTACACAAACAAATTGCAGTTCAGTTATGCGAGATACCGTTTGAAAAGTCATTCGCACAATCCCGTTAGAGGAAATGATCTGTAGCAATGCCGTGTGAACATCAGTGGGAGCATCCTGGAAACAAGTGGCGTTCAATATAAACAGTTGATTGCCAGTAAGTGAATTAGTTTGATCTTCACATGCGTCCACGCATGTTTCAACATGCGCGTGAAGATTAAACCCTTGCAGTCGTCATGCAGGAGTTTCACCTGGACGGCTTCGATAAGATCGATGTCACTTACTAATTTTTCTGTTATAAGTAGGGCAGACGTACAATCGCTTGCACTATTCCAATGATTTCCTATGTCTGCCTTCATCGTCTTCTTATCCTCGGCTCGTGTGGGGCTTGACGTAGGTTAGAAAAAGAATAACCGTGACCTCAAAGTAGGTCAAGTAGCTGCGCTGCTTTGGCAATCGTACTGCGGTGGTACCAGTTTTTACACTGATTTGGTCTTTTAATTGTCAAGCGCAAGCATGTGAATAGAAGCTTCAATGAGAAGCTCTATTTATACTGTTTCCATTCTGAACACAGGCAGAAACCCTCTTCTCCCCTTTAGGTAGAGGAATAGTACCTGCACCACGATGAAGAGAGCAAGCACAGTTCTGGACACCAACTTCCTCCACAATACAAGGGATTTTCACATTCCCCTCTGGAAAAGAACGCTTACGAACTTCAATCAGCTCCTCCACAAAGTTGTCAAGTTTCTCCACTGTCACACTCGGCATAACAACTGCATGTGCAATCTTGCCCTGTGATCATATTTAATGACATTAGATCCTCTTCTAGTGTTAGGTCAACATTCCTTGAATGAGATAGCTTTTTCATGGCTTGCAAAAACCAGAATCATTTTGCCAATTTCATATTCTTCGATGATATACTTCGGAGAACTACTGAACTTCAAATCAATGCACAAATTAATATAAGGAATTTAGAGACACTTACCTGACACGCAAGTTGCCATTTAAGGATAAAAGCCTCATCGAGAGGCCTCTCGAAAACGACTGTGCTGCTGAGTTCATTGAGCATAACTCCTATTTTTGCTTCCCGCAAGCGTTCTTTTAAGTAATGTGCATTACGGAGGCATCGCTGAACATCTTTCTGAAAACCACGGTAACCCTTGCGATTGAGAGTGTACCACAGGAAAATTGGAGCATGGCCGTTTCGACTTCCCATAATAGTTGCATCACGAGAAGCTAAGTACTCCACGTTACGGGACAAGGAATTAATATGCTTCATTCTAGTGAATTGGACACCACAAGGCATTGGGCAACCGATAAATTTATGACCAGACACACTGACACTACCAATTGGTTTCTTAAAGGTCACTTTAGGAGCCTGCAATACAACAGTTGAAATACGTCAAGAAGTGACCGTTTATAATCCAACCAAATTGTACGATATTTTAATTACGTTGGTGAAAGAGGCACTGAAATTCCAGTGCATGGAGTCACTTACAGTGTGTATCTGCGTGTTAGACATCAAAGGATTAGTTCTAGATCAAAATGATGTCCCATAGCGGCTTGCGAATGGGCATTCTCCTCAACTGTGTGAAAGCACTCACCTCATGCACTTCTCCAGATAAGGACTTCTTTCGAATGTATCGCAAATCCCAAGTGCCCTTTAATAAGATAGAATGAATATAATGATAGGTCAGAATTTGTACAATTGAACCTAGACCAAGTATTCTATGCTAGTCATTTATTGTGACAAGGGTTGGCTAGTGATCTGCACCAGGCTCATTTAGCTGTGCCTGGCTCCTGTCACTTTGGCGACTGGTAGTCAAATGCCTCAGACACCCGCACCGCGGATTCTCATCCACTCAGTCTCAGCCTAGCGAAAATCGATACTTTCATAGTGTCCATAATAAATTGTTCAACACCACGTGCCAGTGACTCAGCAATGCTTAGCCGGATGACACTCCTTCGCAAAGGGTCCATGGTTCACTTGACATTGAGCGTGCTCTGCAAAACTCTCCTTAAAAATCTCGTGTCTCACTCTAAATGGTCTCAGTGAACGACAAAAAGTAAGACTTTTGCTGTAAAGATGTTGCCATGTGTGATGGTCAGCACACTGATAGACTTCACCATAGATAACCAGGACAGGTCAAAGTGGTAAGTTCGTAACGATATACTGTTTTCTAATTCACTCATGCTAATAGCACATCTTCAGAAATATTAAGAGTACTTACCTTCTTCACAAATGGCATCATGAGCCCAAAAAGTGCGCCGTCAACATGGATGTAGAAGCGATCCTCCGTGTAGCCCACCCGTTCCAGAACCTTTAGTATAAGATCTAGATCGTCCACAGCTCCTTTGACCGTTGTTCCTGAGGGACACGAAGTCGGGTGAATGGCTGATTTATACGTTCACATAATTTGACTATCAGATCTGAAGCCATTCCCAAGTATAATTCTTTCTGGAACCTTTGTATCTTCACCTCCACGATGGTCAAAGTTGTGTGCACATTATTGGAGCAACATACTTCACATCGTTTAATACAGCAAAATTGGTGATGAACTCAACTTACCAATATTGACATTCAAAATTGCAGGTTTGTCTTTTCCCTCGGTCAACTTCCGCTCCAGGTCAACACAATCAATCTCACCCGATAATAGTGTATCCACTTTCACTGCCTCCATGCGATACATTCGAGCAGCCTTAAAGACGGAGTAATGTGAATCTCTGGAAGCATATAAGATGCCATCGGGAAGTACTTCTCTCCTGTGATTTTGCAATCATGCCAGATTTAGTGCTTAAACAATAAACTTGCTTCGTAAAGATATTTTGACTCTGCACATCGGTCAAAGGGAAGGCCAGCAGCAAGGTCGAGTGTTTGGGAAGAAAGATCTCAGGTGCATACAGGATCCAAATATAAAAGTATACACGTTAGCGCCGAATTTGTAATGGATTTTGTGTTGTGGTAAAAGACGCTAACCCGACGAGAATGCCGTGGAGATTTCCTTCAGTACCACAGTTGGTGATATAGCCCCAGTACTCGTCCTTCTCCAGCTCCCACAACCTGGCAAACCAGTCCAGCACACCTACCTCAAATTGTCTCGAGTGTACGCCGTAATTGCTTTCGATGAAAGGATCACCCAAATTGTTGATGGAGAAATGCTGCAGCTGTGACAAAGCACCATAATCGAAGTCCAGATTGTAGGGGTAACCTGCAGCAATCGGAAATTTCGGTCAGGTGGTGAAGACCAGTATTAACTTGGTAATCAGGTTGGGGTCGCTAGTCCAAGCTTCTTGCTCCAACTTCCATGATACGGTGAACAGCGTACGGTCGAAGGAGCTGCAACGGAGCTAAATGTACGAAACGAACGATACCTAACCATATGAGCAAGAAGAGTGCCGTGCATCTGGACTGCACAAGACTAACAGACAAATTCAAGATGAAACCTTGAACACCGTCTACAGTACTGTTAAAAGACACTAAGCTCAAATAGCTCTGGAGTACTCGCACGACAAATCTTCATTGTTTTCTAATGACAAACAAATTATCGTCAGCAGAGAAGTAATTGTAGTTATATTCGATGTTTGCATTAAACAAACATCTCCATCATTAAATTTCATTAACCACTTCCCAGATAACACCAACAAGTTAGCACTTGCTGCAGGCAATTGAAAATAGCATGATATCAACGTCACATTGATCCGGCCATGGAATTAGAAATACGTCCTCGATCAGATTGGACTCGATGACTGCAGGACAGAGATTGAAAAATGGGTGATGAAGTCGCGGGTGCAAGGAAAGGCTGAACACTAAGAATATCCTGCTGGAGGAGAATTCAGCAGTGCTACAAGAATTGCGTTATAAAGGTTCATAGGGCTTCGCAAGCTTGTAAAAGATTGAGCATGCGAGCTGAGCTGCACCTAAAATGAGTTCAATGACAACTGTACACAGTGGTTAGATCAGTTTAGTGCTCTATGACGTTCTGAAACGGCAGAGGTTGGCTGGGAAGATCATCAGGATCATATCACTAGGTAATCACCGAAGAGCATCTTCATAGGTACGGTTATGAAACGGCGGAAATATCTGTAAGAGGAAGAGCAAAGTCAGTGCAAGTTTGCCCACCCAAGTGATACTTCGACTTCTCCGTCAAAGACTTTCGGTAACGAGCAAGAACGCTAGCCATGTACGCATCTTTCTCGCCAGTCACTTCGTCGTCATGGTCTGGCTCGGTAATTTTAAAAGAACTACCGTGCATGTCCCTTCCCAGCACGAAATTCTTGTTGGACTTGACAGCGCCATGCGAATCACCATACTTGACATTGCCATTCGTGGCGCCGCTTTCTCCATTTTTACTGGTGGGAAGAACGGCCTTCAAGTTGTCCAGTGAAATCTCGTCTGGTAGCCCATCAGTCATCACAAGAGACATGGGAGGGGGCAGAGATCTCTTCAACGACGCTTTCAGAACTGGCGATGGCGGCAATGTCACGCAGCGAGTTGCTGCTTCTTCGACGGCGCTCACCATTTTCAGATAGCTACTGTCTTGGTAATCTCCTCTCGTTCAACTACACCGTGGACACCTGAAGTTGCAGCCAAACGCAGATTCAGGTACAGGTCGAGGACTTTCGCAGCTTGCTTCTCTTCTGATTGCAGGTTCGCCTCAGGAAACTGGTCGCAACGCAAGAATTGAAAACTGGAAGCTGTAGGTCCAGAGCAAGAGAAGAGCAAAGGACTCCGAAATCAGTGATCTCAGATAAGAGCAGCAGAGCATAGGAGAGGAGGAGGAGAGGGAGAGAGAGAGAGACGAGAGACGAGAAAGAGAGATTGTGGTTTGAAGTTCTGAATTGCGGGCAAGCGCCTCTCTTTTATAAAGAGATATGTGCACTAACAGCTGGCCCTTAGGAATGGCAGAAATTGGGGAGCCACTTTCCTTTGCATCAAGGAATCATCACTCTTGACCCTGATAAATCAATTGAAGTCGCAAATGCGTCTTGAGTTCAGCCTAATGGTTGGGCTGCTGCACTCCAGAATGGGCGGAGAGCGACAACAGTCCATCCGAGGGACGACCCGTCTTTCAAGTCACCACGTATATTTTTAGAATCCTACATATATTTAGAATTGAGCTACCACCAAGGTTTTCATCTCAATAATATTCACCGCCACCAATTCTAAAGCACTCTTACCAGCGGCTGTTTTCGCCTCCGCGCCCCACTTACTGCTCTTGCTCTCTGCTCTGCTCTGTGGAGCACCTTACATGTTTCCCGACGACCAATGCTTTTGGAAGTGCCACCCCATTGTGGAATCAAACTTCACCGTATCTGCTTCAAATATAGTTCGTCATTCAAGTTTTATCGTCAGCTGGTGCTTCTGTTTCATGGCTTTGGTCTCATGAGCTTCTGTGCTCTGTTTTGTGTTTCCATTCAGCTTTCTGACCTCCGAAATCACAACGTCTTACAAACAGCTAATCAAATACACAACTCCACAGCCGTTTAAGCTGTGAGACCACGTTTCTATACATAGTAAATGTAAGAAATCAAAACTGAAAAAAGCTATGGATATACATTCACATGTGACCAGTATTTCTGCAGTGATATTGATGCTTTTGGAATATATTGCAGGAGAATCTCTATTGAAGATTCAATAGATTCTACATAGATTCATATGCCTACATACTGGCTCCATGGGCCAGCATAGATGTCTACTGTGACGCATCCACACTTTGAATCTTGGCTCGTGTTTGATAAAAGCATTTAGTTGATTGCATCTCATGCCATTCATGCTCTCTCTCTCTCTCTCTCTCTCGCTAGCTCTGTCTGTCTGTCTGCCTGCCTGCCTGTCTAACAATGTTCTGATTCTTGAATTGTAATGCTTGAATATCTTCTACCTTTAGAACATTATAAAGTATTTTTCAGTTATGGGTTTTTTGATGATTCTCACTCAATGCACATATGTGTGAAAATCCATTGTTGTACATGAGGAGAATCTTCATATTCTTTAGTTGCACAATAGGCAACCATGTACACATGTATCCTCATATTTGTTGTTCAATATTTTGTGCAAAATTGATGTTACATCACATTTGTAGAATCATGTAGAGAATTTGCATTTTGCTACTAAACAAGTGCATTTAAGGCATGATTTACAACACTACACAAAGTTACACTTCTTGGAACCAAGTAATTAAGAATAGAATGTTTGATTTGTTATTAGAAATATATGTGCTTCTTTAAGCAACAAGATTTGATTCTGCACAAGGTTTTGGTTATCCAAAACATTGAATAAATGTTATAATCATAAAATAAATAATAATCATAATAATAATAATAATAATATAACAGTATTGGAGAAAAGATATTTGGTTCATTGTTTTTGTTGAATGCTCCTTCATATTCCATGCTAAAGGACTAGTAGAGCATTTTTTTTGTTTTTCAAGGAAAGGAAAAACTGTTGCTTGCAAATGCATCTGATTTGCTGCAATACTTATCACATTGTAGTGTGTAACATTCAAAGCAATTCCTTTAGCATCAGTACCTGTGGATTCTTTTATTATTCTTAAGCAGAAAACACATGTTGGGTAAACACTTTGTGGAATCCCAACATTTCTGCTTCAATTAAATCTCCCAAAATTCATTCGTGATGCTATTTTGTTCCTTAGAAACAATATGTTTTTCAATGTTATGTGAACTACTGTTTTGAGGATATTCAATCGACAACAAAATCGTCCAAATTCAATAGCAATGGAATGACATTTAGAAGGAAGAGAGAACTTGAAGTTGGACACATATTAAAGCAACATTTGTGGAGTATTTGAATCCCAATTGTGGCAAGGATCGTTAACTTTGATTAAATTTTATGAAGAGAGAAGTCTATTACTAACAGATGAGTGGAGTCCCAATCCTGTAAGGAATCTATACAAACGGAGAAATAAATAAACAACATCACAGACCCAGAAGTTTTTGTCACAAGGAAGCCCACAAAATGATTCATTCTGTCGATGTAGGAGCACATACCCTCAATTATTGGTATCAATCCTAATAATTTACAGCGGGAATAATACATTTCTGCTCCGACTCTCAATTGACTCTAAAGAAAAAATCTCAAAGATATAAAAATAAAAATAAAAGTGATGGAAATAAATAAATAAATAAATAAGGCGGGTCACAGTGAAAAAATTCACACAGAGACTTTGCAGATGTTCAGTTTCCACCATGGAGCCCACAAAAAGCAAAAGTGAGAAAGACCAACATTTACTCTACTTTACCCCTAGGAAGCGAAATGGCAAGAGGGGCCAAAGTAGCCCCAAAGGTAAAAAGCACCCTTTGCCTTTTCGACCAAGGGAAAAGCCAGAGAGCCTGTGCTGATTGAAGACGTCGGCAGAAACTATCTCTACCAGTCCACCCAATAGAGGAGAGGTAAAAACAAAATACCCAAAAAACAAAAAAGTAAAAAGTCCCCATGTGACGGCGCCGACGGTTTGAAACGGACAGCATCGAGCGACCCCCGCTTCCATCCAACGGTGCTGGTGAGATCCCCTGCCCATGGAAAGCTTTTAGAAAGTGACGTGCCCTGACTCGGACAGGAGTTAAATGATTCTGGGATCTGGTTTTATCCAAATTAGTTACTTCCCCGCCTTGTCTTCGAATGTGATGAAAAAAAGGGCGGGAGCAGTGTCGTGTGGGATCGGACCACTTGAGAGGCGCGAAGTTTCCAAAAACCGTCGGTCGTTTTAAGGGCCTTAAAAAAAGGAGGGAGCTACCGGAAGCTTCTTCTCCGTTGCACCCCCCCAAGTGAATCAATGCCCCTCAAATATAGCATTCTGGATATGATCGATTGGCTAATTCAGGGCTAAGTTTTATTAGCTGGGCTCATTCGTTCGCCCTTCTTGTAATAATATACGCTCCTGTGGGGTGGAATGTATGTCAAGTGTTGCATATTTAGCCATCGGTGTGTGTGTGTTGTTTATGTATATTTTAGGGTTGTGTGAATTTTAAAAAAGGTTCACAAGTTGGGCTTTGAAATTGGGTTGTATTGCTTCACTTGCGGGGAGATTGATTGATCATTCAGGGACATGACCAATTGCTAATTTTAAAATCATGGGTCGGGGCTGTTGTGGATGGGGTGCAGAATTTATGCCCTCCCCAGATTCTCATCCCACTGTCCTTGGGGACATTTTGAAGCTAGAGATTTTTTTTTTTCCCCCTTTTTTGTTTGTTTGCTGTGTGTCCCCAGTGTTGAGGGACTCAAAAACAGCATATCCATGGGATATACTGCACAATTGTGAAGGAAACTTCATCTTCACGATTATTTTGTGTTCCAAAACTTGCAAGCATTTCCTTTAAAATATGACTGGATTCTTATGGAAAGGAACTTTAATACATCAGCACCAGATGCCCTAGTTGATTGTTATTACTGCCATGAGTTTGGAAGGCAGGAAACTTTTTTGCAACACATAGCTCAATGCATTTGTTCATGTACAAGTGAAAATTATATATATATTATGTGTGTGTGTGTGTGGGTATATGTATATATGTATATATATATATATATATATATATATACATTCATACATGCACATGTTTCACAATGCAAGTCTTGTTCATTTTACTAACTTTGAGTCAATCAATGCAAGAGAATGCAAACCCTTGAAACCTTCCAATATGGAGAGAGAGGAAGGACTTGTTCTCCCCACAAACTGGTGGAGTTCATCACACACATTCTGTCCTATTTTTTAAAAAAAAATTGTGTTATTTCCTGGTATTTTAAAAGGGAAATATTTGTTTCATATTTCAAGTGGCGAAGAAAGTGCACAGAAATTGTAGCTTGTCCTCTTGTTGTCTCTCAATCAATCTCGAGGTCCAATCATGCAGGGATTGATCTTCTAAAAACATGGACAAATTTATTTTGCAAAGCAAAAATCTTCCATCATTGCCCTAAAACCTTCACCCTCTACCCTAGGTGAAATAATACAAGTTGGTTAAACTGGGTGAGCTAGAAGAGTGATAACCCAACAACTTACTGAGCACAAGGGTCAAACTGTTATATGCACAATATTCTATGAATATCCACCACCTCCCCTTTTGAATATCCATGCCCCCATTGAATATCCCTGCACCGAATCCTCCACATTTCACCATTGCTTGTGTGAACACCACACAACTTAGAAAAGGAAAGTGATATTTAAGGGTCTAGAATACATGGGGTTTATTTTTATTTGATTAGTTTTTTAATGGCTGGTGGTTACTTGCAAGAGCCAAATCCATGATGCGAGAATCCCCAATACATGCAACAAGAAGAATTCCCAATTGTCATGGCTCAGGCACTGACTGTCCCCATTCAATTCCCAAATTTATCTCAACATGATTGATACATTTTTATTTTGAAATTCCAAAAAAAAACCTTGGGTACCTTGCATGAGTGCCTAGTTTGCATGAGGGGGAGAGCAGAATATCTACACCCTCCTCAAACTTGCCTAGGATGGATGGAGAGATGTTCAGCGTGGATGTACGTTCATCCATCCATCCAGGGGCATTCACGGGCAGCAGACCCAGTCACAAACTCCCTGCCTACAAATTGTTCCATTCACTGCCCAATTCATCCATGTCTGGTTGCATCATATCCTGCATCAGCGCCACTGTTGCTCTGACATCAACCAAATTTCAAACACCACATTACATATATATATATATATATATATATTTTTTATATTAGATTTATGTGGATAGGATGTGTTGTTTTGACAAGTTGAAGTTGTTGGTTTTTGAAGTTTTTAGATGTGATTTTTTGGGGAATGTTAAATAAACCCAAGTTTTTATTACATCAACCCACCCATCCTAACCATCATGAACAAAAAAAATGA